TCCACATACTTCTGGCCATACAGTGCAGACGGTTCTAATAAAGGGGCCAGGGTAAGTGAGGTAAAAAATAAATACAATTCTGCAAACAACCATGTGTACTGTAGCATATCTGCCCGCACCATCGGTCAAAATCTCTTTGTGCTCTACGGCATATGGTGAGTTCATCTCAGTGCAATGCTCTTCTATTTAGCTTCTTTCTTTTTTTTTTAACACAGTCTGTCTGATTCCGGTGAACAGGGGAAGCTTTGTCTAAACACGCTTGCCAAATGAGCGAGGAGTCTTTGGTTGATAAAATATTTCTCTCACAGTCTCCCAGACAAAGACTTAGACACAGACACACACACCTTCACGCTAGCAAGTGCAGACACACTCGGGATAAGAAGACTGGCCTACAGGCATTACTCCACAGACATGGAACTGTTCACTTCTAATATTTATAACAACACAAATACAGGCCTTTCGTCACCTTCACTAAAAAAAAAGCCGCATCAGTAACAACAGTATTTTCCAGCCGTGTAAAGACGTAAACAGCGAAACAGTGCATGAACACACATAAAGAGTGTTCCAGGAGACAAGAGGTCTGTAAGTTGAGAACGTCTGTTGTTTTTTCGTTCGTTCTTCTTCTGTTTCCCCATGTTCTTGCTTTCACCCTCTTTAACCTCCATTAGTGTCTGTCAAAACAGTCCAGGTTCAAAAGGTTAGCGAAGAAGTGACAGGTAGGCAGAAAGTAATGGTTCAAATGTGTGCACTGCATTCCGTATTTTCTCACTTTTTTAAATTTTTTCAATTTTTAATAAAACAGGGCAGTAGCAACGATACAAAACACAAACGCACCAACCCCCAAGCATAACCCGAACACCTATTAATTATTAAATAAAAATAACACGCAGTGAGAGAACAAGGAAGGAAACAAAAAATAGCGCTCAGGGTCACTTTAGATCAATGGTGGGGAACTGAGGTACCAGCATCCAGCACAGTTTGGTGATTTTCCTGCTGTAGCACACCGACCAAGCCTGGAAATCAACCTGGGTAGAATCAGGTGTGTTTGAGTAGGAAACTCATCAAACTGCAGGAATCCAGCACTCCAGGACAGGAGTTACCCACCGCTGCTTAAGATGGTCCAATCCAAGTTAAAACCTCTCCGTGCAGCATCTCCATCGTAATAATATGGAGCATCTCTGGAAGCTTACGGTTGAAACATGGTGTTCAAAAGAGTAACCTTTTTAGCCACAACCATGCCAGCCATTGAGTTGTGTTGTTGAACATATAGAAGGGGTGGACACTGACTCTGAGAATCCATTGATCGCAATGAGAGGGTCAGGATGTAGGTATGTGTTAAGTATTTCAGAGAACCATTAAAAAAAACATTCAACCAGAAGTTCTGAAGCAAAGGACAAGTGTGCTAGAGATCCGTCAGTTGTTCTATATCTATAAGACACAGCTGTAAATTTTGTCTGACTTTTGAATAGAGAAGTCTATGGAGCAGAACTGGATCAACCTGTATCTAGAATTTAAGGTGCAGTGTGATGTCCTGGACAGGCTCTCCTCCCAAATTTCCTCTGTTGGGGATTGTTAAGCTCCCAGGCCTTCCTGAGGTAGTTAGAGGTGAGAAGGTGAAAAGAAAAGGCAGAGAACCAAATGTCTTGAAGATGAATCTAGACAGAACAATTCAAATACTGAATAGTAGGTTTGGCTGTGAAGTTGGGACTAAAAATGACAGCAAAAAAAAAATCGTAAATAAAAATGACCACATTTTTCTCTTTCAGCTGGTCGAAAGAGGCAAATCTCCCGTCTACATCTCCAAGACACTGAAGACCAGTGGTCACCGAACCTGGTCCTTCCTGCAGAGTCTAGTTCTATCCACAATCTCTCACACCCAATCAGCTACTTCTTCACAAGTCCTTGATTGGCATTTGTGATAAGTAATGGAAAGATGAGTATGCAAATGCAGGTTGGAACCCAACTCTGCAGGAAAGAAGATCTCCAGGAGGAGGGATGGTCTGCTGCAGGGCTTTGTCCTTCCAGACAAACAATGCCCCATCCAGCTTAGAAGGCTGAAATAAATGGTCGTGCAAAATTGGTGTATGGATAGATGTTGATGGCGCTTTAGTAGAACACTTTATCTGATTAAGAATCCTACAGCCCCAGTAGTTTTAACTATTGAAAAGAGTGGAAGTCTGGACGAGAGGAAGCTGAAGAGACATGGCCTTCAACTTAGTCCAAAATGGATTCAATGATGACGGAATTCCCACTGCCAAAACGCCACAGCCTTGATATTTGCTGCCCAATAATAGTATTTCAACACCACAGTGGGCTTTTGTAGGTGAGCTTTTGAGTCTTGTAGCCTTAAACAAATGAGAAAATAATTGCGTCTGTTTAGAAAAGGAAACAGGCAAGTAAGTTGGAAGGTTCTGAAAAAGATTCAGAAATCTTGGTAGTACAGCATTAATGCATTGAACCATTGACTGATCACGATATTTCCACTTCTTAACATTTGGGAATTTGAAGGCCAAGTTATGAAAAAGATGAATTCAAAAAGCTAAGAAGTTTTGAGTGAGCAGCATAAATTTTATTTCAATTGGTCACATAACCAAATGAATTAATACAGTCTAGCAAATTAGGAGCAGAAGAAACTTGGTCTGAAATACACAAAAGCAAGTCATTCAAATACAGATTTAGCAAGATTTCAACATCTACTTGATACCATGAATGCATGAGTGGCTTCTAATGCCTATTGCCAGTGGTTCCAAAGCAATGTTGAAGAGTAGAGACAGGAGACACCTTGTCTCACCCCACGGTGGACTTTAATAGAATTAGAACTGTCACCATTGCTCAATATTGATGATGTTGGGAATATGTAAAGCAATTAACACAGGAAAAGTCCCCAAATTTTTCCAGAACATTAAACATGTAGGGTCATTCTATTTGATCAAAAAGCATTCTGAGCATCCAGTGAGATAATCGCAGCAGTGATGTCACAGCATTTTCTCACTTTATTCCATATTTCTCCTTGAAATTTCAATAGCAGTCAGAACTTTAAGCTTTTTTACATGACTTAAAACTCTCTTTAACTCTCAGGAAACAGGGCTATTTTGTGCCTTTAAAAGGAATTTTTCAACACTTCTGCGTAATTAAATGATTAAGATGTGAACACAGTCATTCAGAATGGTTTGATATGAAACACTCCATTTTAGACTTGTTCAAAGTGGTGGTGATAAGAACTAAAGAGTTCATAGGAAGAGTTTAGTATCTCTAAAAGCTCCTTCACAGAAAGTTATGACATAAAATAGTTATGAACACGCTGCCTGATGCCTGAGACATTGTTTTATGAGAAATGTGAGATAAGGTTTGGGCCTAAAACATATTCATTGTGGAGAAGTACCGGCAGGGCATTGTAGGACAAAACAGTCCCCAAAGAAAACATTCTTTCAGACTTGCCTCTATTTTAACATCATCAACCTTACATATAAAACTCAGAAGACTTTTGTAAGTTTACTGGTCATTTTGATAGTTGAATGGCTAAATTAGCATTGTAGACATCTCACCCCCGATTCCTATCACCACCACTATACTCAGAATTCTGAGTACAAGCAAACAATTTACCCCATTCCCAATAACAAAGTCTTGCAGCATTGATTCTAAAGTGTTTAGCTATGTGATGTTTAGTTAATGACACTACTGAGGAGACTGTTTAGTTTGATCATCCCTCAAAACAGTTTAGTAATGCTAAGATTAATAACTGACTGGTCACAGTGATTTATCTGTCTGCTCAGGCTTTAGCAGGAACGTCAGTGTTTGTAAAGGATTTTCACGCCATCCACAGATTTTAAAATAGCTGATAAACAAGCGTTGATGGTGTTTCGTCACTGTCTAGAGAAAAAAAACATGTATCTCCATTATATATATATATATATATATATATATATATATATATATATATATATATATATATATATATATATATATAAATTATTCCCCCCCAAGATTTAAAAGGTAAAGTGTATTCTGAATACTGCCTTTACAAAATGCATTGTACATGTATCCCAATACTTGTATTCTGTTAAATCCCAACCTTGTGAACTATTTTAAATTAAACCACTCTGAATGACTTATTTACATCTCAATGAATGAATACTGCAGAAATTTTGACTGGAACATGTAAATGACCTCTTTTCTCTTGGCTACTGTGTATTACGTTTTCCACTCCAATAACTCTGATACTGAGACTGCCTGCAGTAACAACACTCCACACCACCTTAATGGAAACAGGTGGTTCATTGTTGCTTTCCTCACATTCAAAATAGGCTGTTTTTGCAGCTTATATAGACTGTATGGGCTGGGAGTGAATGTTTTTAACACTTTAACACTGTTTACATACTGTTTAATTATAAAAAGGCAAAAAAAAAAAAATTCAGCTTTAAGACTTTTTGTCCATTTGGCTCTGACAAAACAGCAAAAATAACAGGAGGAGAAATTAATTTAACTTTACATTTGGAGACCTGCTCACCTTTTTGGGTTACTAAGAAGTAAAAGTACTGTGCGAAAAACACTGCTAATAGTGAACGAGTAAGGACATATTTAAGGCACCAGTTGGCAATGATGCAAACAATATGATGCTGACTACTCTAGCTTCCATTAATTGCTAACATTTGTGGGTGAAATTTTTTATTCACACTTAAGCTATTAGACTGGTGTTCACAGGTTCCAGAATTTGAAGCTGTATTTTACGTCGAACGTGCCCAAACAAACGTATAGTTACAGCATACGATCCAGTTCTTTAAGATGTTTCCTGTTAGAACATGTGGCTGATGTTATTGATGCTGTACGGTTGATTTAATATGGTGACAAGCTGCAGCTTGCATTTTACTGTTGTGTTCCTGCATGTGTTGACTTGAATGTAAATGTATATATACTGTGTAGTCCTGATCCTGTAATTAACTATTGAACATTTCACTGTATAAGATCATTTCAGGATGTCAGAAACTACATTCACTTTTCAGTTTTGAAGTTTTCGCACTATTTGATTGCTTGACTGTATAGCAGATGATGCTACCGCGCCACTACAGTGAGGGAAAAAGGTATTCACTTTGGTCTTTCATTATTTGATATATGTCCAGTGCATATATCCATTTCAAATGTACACACAATATTTTCTGACTTTGCACTTACAAATATGAGCCAAAATAATATTTATATAGTACAAGCATAAAAAAGATTAAATATTTTAATTAGTGCTGTTATACAAGATTAAGATAAGCAGAAATTGAAAGATGACCGTGGAAAATGCAGTTGCGTGTTATTTATTTATATAATAAAGAGTATCAAAATTAGAAACCCAAATCAATTTATTTCTGAGGCTTTTGGAAGGCCCCCCATTCAGGGAGGACCCAGGTTAGTCAGGTCCATCATTACCCGCAGTCCAACGCCTCTGCATATGATCCTAAGAACATCACACCCACAGTAAAGTATGAAGGCGGGTCCATCATTATATGGGCTGCTTCACTGCAGACGGTACTGGAGCATTATATGTCACCAAAGGAAACATGAATGGAGCTATGTAAAGACATACTAGAGGGGAACTGAATCTCACCAGGCAAAAAACTGAATCTAGGATGAAGATGGATATTTCAAAACAAATAACTCAAGACTGGTTTCTAAAAAAAGGCAGTGAAGGTGCTTGTATGGCCTTGCCAATCTCTTGTCTGATCCCGCTGAAAAAATGATGGAGGATTTTCAAATTGCGAATCCATCAGAGGGACCCTAACATAGGGGAATTGAAGACAGTTTGTCAAAAGGCATTGATTACAACTGAACTACAATGCTGCAAAAAGCATTACTTCTTACAAAAGTCACATTACAAAATGCTAAATACTTTTTAACGTCTTGAAGCTGTAATTGTCGACACCAGCTTTGCAACAAAGGACTAATATTATTGCTTTGTGATGTCTGAATACTCTGAAAACATCTTTCTTTCAGCTTATGAAGACATTTTTCTTCAAATTTATAAGAATACATTCAAAAGACAGGTTATTTTCAACCAGATACATGCACTGGAAGTATATTAAACAACAAAAACAAAAGTGTCTGAATACTTGTTTTACTCACTGTTGCATGAAGTCATGTGGCTATAAGTAATACATTCTAAATCCACACAGAGATTTAGTGTCTGATGAGGTGCATTACAGGTGTTATTTAGTTTGCACTGGGTATCTGAAGACATGGGTAATGTAGTATAAAATCACATATGGATTCAGTGTCTAGACAAGACAGTTTAATTGGTATTTTTGGTACAAAAAAATCAGGAGAACCTCTTTGGTGTCTGTAAAACAACAGCAGATGAACAGATCTACAAAAGCAAATTTATGACTGGAGATCTTATTCAGCTCTTTGATCGAAGCTAATAACTAAGTTTACAGTACAGTAGAATACAGCAGTGCTTTACGTTAAATGGGGTGAATCAGAAACACAGACGTACATAGAAACATGCACACGGAAACGGGTGTACACAGACGCTCAAAGCGTGTGCAATTGTTCTGAGCCTGTCGCCAGGCCGATCAGTGCTGACCCAGTGCAGCGTTGGTCAGATGTATCATCAGAAACATAAAATTAAAATAACTCCAGCAACACTGCATCAGTGCTGTGAGGCCAACACCTCCATGATGAAGATGGAAGGAGTGAACAAGCGGAAAAGGAAAAATGTGTCTCTGTTAAATTGCCCTTTGCCCTTTAGGCACTTAATCTCCAGAGCAAAAGAGGAGGCCACCACCATGTCCAGAATAAAAGCTTCTAGTCTGAGTAAAAGCCTCACCCTCTCCCTCTGGGTTTGATCTTCACTCTAGTTCTCCAACTAAACTCCTGAGGTGAAGCCCTTCACTTCCTTAACATCAGCCCTTAATCTAAATGGCTCTTACTGATGAGTCTTTAGCAACTCCCTCGTCACTCCTGCAAACAAATCCCCGGCTCAGGAGGCGAGGGTGTATCGGCAGCACAACTGGTCAGTACAACACTCCTTTACAAGGCTTTGCTCTGCAGGGCAGGAGTGGCTTCTCACTACGTCACCCGTCAGTGCTTTCCCAAGCAGACAAGTGGTAAAGTCAGCAAGTGGACATGTGTATTAGAATGGCACAGATCACTTGGTGCCGGTTGAAACAGGCTGGTTCTCCTCTGGAGGGCTGGAGGTGTACTGGATACCGTGGCTGGCCAGGAGAGTCTGGAGATGGGCTACAGTCTGCTGTAACTCTGTCCGCTCCTGCTGGAGGGAACTGACCTCCAGGCGCAGCTCTGCCTCACTGGTAGCCAAACCTTCCACCCGAGACTCCAGATAGCGGATCCTAGCATGGGCCACCTGAGAGAAAAAGAAGAGTCAGTGAGGGTGAAGCAGTGAAGAGAGACATACAAACAGTGACGCACTTTGTTCACTGTCAAAGATACAAGAACAGCTTGGGGTCCTGAGTGGCACCCCCGCATAAGCACTACTGGTGAGAGATGGCAAGTAGCATCTTTGGCTTGAGCCCCAGAGAGTATAACTGGTCGGCCTCACTTTAGGTAGGGTGACCCTTTAAAGCCAATAAGCTCTTCAGTACAACTGACCTACCGCCAGTCTTTGTCTACAGAGACTGCATGGCTATGTGATTGATTTTGTGCATCTGTTAGCAATGGATGTGGGTGAACCAATTATCATATATTTTTTATTTATTAAATATTATGTTGAAGGTGTGTCCACATACTTTTGGCCATATAGTGCATCTATTAAATTCATCTTAATTTTCACTTACCCTAAACCTGGCCCAAATTCTAACCCTAACCTTAACTTTAACTCAAAATCTAATCCTAACCTTAATCTCTGTGCTAAACCTAACCCTGATCTGAATCCTACAGCATGGTTGAGAATCTACTGATTTTCACTAGATAGTTTGTTAACAATTTGAAAATCTAGTCATAATCTGTTGGGGGCTATCCAGATAAAGTATACTGAGCTGTTCACTGACATAGTATTAGTGGCACCCACATCTGCATGTGTCTCAGAGGAAGTATGCGCTAATGTTCATATTCCCAACTTGGCAGCATTGGGTAGACCTAACTAGCCGGTGGAACTGGACATTAATTAGGCAGAAAAATCAAAACGATACAAGAACATCTGGGGCTCTTGATGGGTGCAACTGTCTGAGTATTGGTACTATTGTCAGGAGATGGTGAGCTCGATTTCCAATGATGCCAAAGCCATCCATGACTGGGAGTCTAAAGAGCATAACTGTCCTCGCTCTCTCTGGGTGGTTAGGATGCCCTCACTTTCTCCACATCACTCAGTGCAATGCTAGCCAATGTGGGCATTTGGAGTTCTCCCATAAGCACGTACAGATGAAGTGGTGCTTCACATTACTTGAAGAAAGTACTTGTGAACCCTCATGCCTGGTATCATAACTAGACCTAACTAATCAGTGGAATTGGACATAAACAAATTGGGGAGAAAAATGAAAGAACAATAAAAAGATACAATAACAAGACACATAATTCAATAAACTGAGAGAAGAAATGGCAGAGTTTGAGGAACATTCAAAAAGAGAAACTGAAAATATTGTTAGGAGAAGGGCGTCACGCCCCTTTGGCTGGTAGATATGTATAAGAATGCTATAGCTTGAGGGAAAGTGTCAAGACATACTGATAACACACTAGGAGTAATAGCATTAACTGCAAACAAAATGTATGATGTAAAACAAATAGTAAAATATATAGTCAATAAAATACTGTATAAGTTACTTGTGTGTTTATTAACTTATTAATAGACTAATGTTTGAAACAACTGCTTGGCAACACTGTAATTTAATATGGTTACGCCTCTTAAGCTTATTTGAGAATAGAGAGAAAAGGGAGAATAAATTGAATAAATTGATGTATTATTTTATAAATTAAAGTAAATCCCTGCAAAAAACACTGAAGTTCAATGCCTTTCACACTTTCACTGCTGCACTTTTGGGGCTCTTGTACAACTTTCTGTACTCTCTCTGAGGTATGACAATCATTTCCAGTTATTCCTCAGGGTAAGACTGCACAGGGTGAGACTGCACAGGGCCAAAACAGACGGTTGCTGAAACATGGAAGCAAATAGCCAGTAAGGACTGGTGACGTTGAAATATGAGAAGCGATAGGTTTGACTTGAAAACAAAGTCCAATGTTTAGGCTGACTGGTATTAGTTTAAGAGTCAGGACTGCTAAAACCCGGTCTGCAAATTACGTAAATCGAGAAACTTCCAATTCAGGAAAAGTGTGCAAAACTGGCTTCCATTGTACTCATGCTTCGATCATCACATAAGCATGCTGTCGTGTGGCAGTGTACAGGCTTACCTGTACTTCCTCCAGCAGGTCTAGGTTCTGCTGGCGAAGGCTGCCATTGGTCTTCTCCAGCTGGGCAGCGCGCTGTGATTGGCTGAGAGTGGAAGGACCGTCTAACAGCTCATCCTGAAGCACGTGGTACTCCACTTCGTAGGCCTGCAGCTGCTTACTGATGTCCATCTCGAAGACCTGTACACACACGTAGTATGTGAAAACAAGCCCTGAGTGCTTTTCAGTGTAATTCTGTGCCATGGTTTTTATGATCATGTGGTATTTCGATGCACCACGTTTTAGATTTTCATACCAATCTAAATCAAACCCTAATGCACCAACAGACTAAGTAAATAAGTCAATAAATAAATAATTATCAGGTTCCACTCCACATGTACACAATATTATAACACGTGTGCCTTACGTCAGGATTAGGGTAACGGCCAGAAACGTGTTAAAAGGCCACATACTGGCACACGGCCCTGAACATACTGTTCAAACAGCAAACCTCATATTCCGGGAAGAGTTTCCTTTTCTTGCCGCGGAATATAGCTTTAGATGATTCCATAATCACTAAGAATGCTTCACAACACTGACAATGTAATAATGATAACAAATTTAATAATGATAACAAATCCAGAATGACTCATATTACAAAAAAGATGATGAAATCTTGAGGCACAGGATTTTCCAAAAGAGTACTATATATGTAATTTAATATAATACTTATCATTTAAGGAGAAATTCCTCAGACTTTTCTTTTTTTTAGCATAATTCAATGGTTGAGCTACAGACAAAGTCATTCAGAGTGTTTGATGTAAAATAGTACACTTTAGAAACCTGCCAACTTTACAGTGGTGGTGATCACAATGTGTACATAACCATTTCATTTTATATGTATTGTTAACAATGCTAAAACAGTGGTAAATCTGATTTTCCCTGGATAGTATTTTTCCTTGCCTGAATGTACCATATTTGGAAAAAAGACAAACCACAAACAACATTTTAGACCAAAACCTTCTCAAAACTACTGTAAAACTGTCTCAGGCATCAGGCAGCGTATTCATAATCATTTCACGTAAAAACTTTCAGTGAGGGATTTCTCAGGTGCTCCAAACCTTTTGGACAGTATGTTTCTCAGAGCGTTTCACATCAATCCACTCCGAATGACTTTGTTTACATATTAAACAGCTAATTATGCAGTCTTTAATTATTGGTAGAATTCTCCTTTAATAACATCCTGTCTAGTTGTTTAATATGCCAACCTACACTTTATAAGTTATATCTGAATAAAACAATTATTATTATGATGTGTTTCCAAAGATTAAAAAAAAATGATTACACAGTTGTTCCTTCTATCTTTCTGCAAAATAACACTCCGAATGTAACTGAAACTCAAACCAGAGTTCAAACTCATGCAAATGAAACTCATAATTCAGGACCGTAAGAACTTCAACTATTGTGAGTCTGTCCAGATACCTGCATGTTTAGTGAGAGAGTGTAAGAGAAAGAAAGAGAGAGTGACAGCTACAGAGAATGAGTGGCATGTTTGGCCAGTAAAGGGGAAAAGGCTGTAAACATAAGAATGTCAGTGTCTTCTGACTGCCATTACACAAACATACACAAGTGCGCACACTAAAACACACATGCTTGCACCACTCCACCTTCTGACTGCACTCAACTTACAACTAAGGAACCACTATCTAGGCCAAACCACAAACAATCATAGCACCAACCCAGGCTTGTGCCTTTGTATGCCAGTATCACTGACTTAAAAACACAAAAACAAAAGTAAACACCACGCCCAAAAACACAGTTTGCACTGATGCATCAACGAGTCACTTGTTTATTACAGTTTTCAGTCCTACAAATACAAGGGCTGATTCATAAAACACAAAAACTGTCAGTGTTTCCAAAAAAACTCCTGCTAACTTTTTGTAAAAGAAAATACAAAATAAAAATGAACATATCTAAAAATATATGTAAATTGTGAGGGCCAACACAAAGGAAAAGTCGGTTTTAAGTTTTTTTTTATAATTTGGTAAGCAACAATCCCACACAATAGTTAGATAGACAGACAGACAGACAGATAGATAGATAGATAGAGTGCTGTGCACAAGTCAGAGATCACCCTTCATTTATTCCATTTCCAGTCAAAATGGGCACTAAGTGACAGGAGTTTCCACAACTGGACTAAAAAAATGATTTAAATATGCAGAATAAATGAGACTCCTAACAACTGTGTAAGACCTGGCAGACACCAAAACTGTCCCATCAGATAATCATCACTTAGCTTTCATCTTTGAGAAGCTCCACTCTTTTTCTCAGATGTGAAAAAAATCCACAGGTGTTTCTGTCCATTCTTCCACTGTGAGAAGACAACTCAGCACTATGAGTCTGAAAGGACGTTTAGGAAGCCATTAAAAAGACAAAACAAGAATAAAAATTTGCAAATCAAACAAAGAAGCTGCTGGGACTGACCACCCCAGAGTTCAGACCTCAACATCACTGAATATGTTTACTTGAATTGTGGGATGCAGAAAATACAACGAACTTCTAAGACTGAACTTTGGACGCGTGGAAAAATATTCCTGTAGATTTCTTTAGAAAAATGAAAGCAAGTCTGCTGAAAAGAATGGAAGCTGTAATAAAGGCAAATAGTGGACACACTAAATGCTGAACAATTTGATATTATATTTGGTGTATTTCTCTGTTAAATGTATGTTGTCTGCCTGCCCCCACCAAAACACTGAAACATGAATATCGTGTACTTAATGACCGTTTTGACTGGAATTTAAAGAAATGACTGTGGTCTCTGATTTTTGCACCGAACTGCATGGTTTATCTCATCAATGTTCACTTAATCATTTTATTTATTAATAATTATAAACATAAAGCAATATAGTTCATTAAGGCAAAATGAAAAGGTAACATAACTATTAAGCTTATTCCATGAACAGCTGAATGGCACAAATGCACACAGTAGTACCTGATTGATTGTCTTCTCCATCTGTACCAGTCCCAGGTTGGGCAGAGTGGTTTTGATGAAATCCACTATGGACTCCAGATTGTCGTGCTGCAGAATGAGCGGCTTGTGGCTACCCAGAAGGCTCAGCGCCACTTTGAAGATGACCTCTGACCCCTGCAGGAACAGCATATCTGGAACAAAGAATACATGCAAAATGAGTATATGCATGCACTGACTGTAACAATATAACATAACGACTGTTATACTGAGTATATTGAAATACTATTTTTTATTTGACATGTTCTGCAAACTAAACATAATCGTAGGGGGACTATTTAAGATTTCAGTCCTATTTAAAACACAGTCTCCAGTTGCTTATTGTTTAACATTTAAAATACAGGAGTTAGTGCCTTGTACATTTTAACTTATGAAATTAAAATTTACATCAACATATGTTTACATATATGTGAAAACCCCAAAACGTAACTTCACAGAGAAGTTACGGTTACTGTTTATTTTTTTTCCTCCCTCACCTTCCCTTTCCCTCTCATTTGCTCTTTTTAACCTTACTTGTCCTCCTTTCTTTCTTTCCCTTTCCTTTCCTCTCTTCATGCAAGTGTAGCGAACTTATGGATACATAAAAGGGCAAGGATGCAAAAGTCAAGAGTTTTCATGAATGCTGACAAGTACAAACAGACTTTAACATCATGCAATACCCTCTGGAAAATGTCTGATTGGGAAGAAACTGATTATACAGCAAAATAATGACCCCAAGCACATGGCTGAGAAGACCAAGACATGCTTATCAAACAAAGAAGCTGCAGGTGTTCTCAGAATAATGGACTGGCCGCCCCACAGTCCAGACCTCAACATCACTGAATGTGTTACTTGGAATGTGAGAAGCAGAAAATACAACCAACTTCTAAGACCGAACTTTGGAGAAGTGGAAAAATATCCGTGTCAATTTCTTTAAAAAACTGAAAGCAAGCAAAACATTCATACTGTTTCTTCCCTGCACAGCCACCACTAACATGAACAGATACAGAGAATTAAGGCCTTTACACGCTGAGCGAGATTCAGGTGACAAACTAATTTGACCATATGTATAACTGACAGTATCTTGCACACCAAATGTGACATTATTTTATTCACCCTCTGTTCGATTCTTCTTTGGGGGGGGCAACGGAGATCTTATTTGCACTTGAACACATTCAGCCTGTTTATTTTATGCTTCATCTGGTGTCAAGCTTTCCAAAATCAGCTCAAACTTAGTTGCAGAAATCCGAGTCACGAGTGAAAAAGTTTGTAAAGTTTTAGCTCCTGAAACGAGGTGGAGAAACCCTCCGTTCTTGTTGTTTTCCCAAAGTGGAAAGCATCCTGGACAATGTCACTATTCATCCGTTTTGTGACAAGCAAAGGATCTTCTCACAGATATTCTGCCCTTTTTTTCTGCAGTGCAAACAATTTTGTGAAATTCCGAAAAAATGACATCACATCTGGTGTATACAGTTTCGATGTGAAAAATTGCATCCAAATGTTTCGCATTTTCGTGTCGCTTATTTACGTCAGGTTTGGTGCGTAAAAGCCTTAAGAGCCTTAAAACTGCAAAGGTGAGTTGAGGGAATGCGTGTATGTGTTATCAAAAGGTAAAATGATGGCTTAGTTGATTACACTAGAAGTGAGGGGTGTGTTCAACATTGCAACCATATCTGTCTCTCTGGCAGACCGTCATGGGTTTGTGATTAAACACAACAGTGTTAGCGCCAGTCGACAGGCATCACTGACTGGTACTAACGCTCAATTTGCTCCCACATGTCCGGGGGCAAGCAGGCGAACATGCAATGTGAAATCTCTTAGAATAAACAACACTAGAGGTAATAATATGGTCCATACACTATTCATAATAAAGGACCACCAATATGCCCGTATTTTTCCTTGTTTTTTCATGATTTCATCATTTTTTTTCTTTTTTTTTTATGTGGCTGAAATATCCGTTTGGGGAACGTAAACCTCCATTTTTAGCAAAATCAAAGAAAGTTTGCTTAGTTATTAATTGCTGTTTTGTCCCATTAAATGTCTCTGAGGCATTCTGTGACAACATGAAGTTTGCGGCTGTCAGGACAGCCGAGTGAAGATGAAGTTACGTCAAGAACAGCAATGCAAAAATAGCATAAATAGCACAGACCTTCAGCAGACATGTGAATGTAGCTTCATAAAGACTCAATGAAAAAGCCCAATTGTTAGAGTTAAAATCTGGGCCCATAAAATGCAACCAGAAGACAAACTGCCAGTTGAACATCACTTCTGGCTCTGTTTGCTGCTAACAGACTCGCTTTAACTGGTTTGCACATTATATTCTCTTTATAACTGATCATATTCTGCACTCGTATACTGAGCAGGTCAGAACGCTAACCAGCTATCAGGCCAATGCAACAATAATAAGAGACAGACTAAGTTCATGTTACTCAAGAACTGAGACATACAGAATGTTACTTATATCCCTGTTATAAGGTAAAAAAACAGTCCAGATTTCTGCATAAGACACTAATCAAAATTGTTTTTTCTTTTTACATTGCTAGTTTATGGTCTTACAAATATGTCTAAAGTAAAGACACAAGTAAAACAAATGTGTCTTACTTCCAGGCTAATAACCTATTAACCTACATTTGCTGAGCAATAATTGCGTAAAGTCAATTTGTGGTAATGCCGTGTACATATACAACTCTGCTTGACATGCATAGCTATGATGCTATCTGTATATCTAGCTATATATGGTCATATAATACAAATCATACCATTTAAAAGACCGGATTTCTGTTTTCCTGTAATCTTTGATTAGGTCACCGGGCCACATTGCTACTAAAATGTTACTGCATTCTGAGCAAGGGTTTCAGAGTGAGAAAAATTATACAAAAATGCAGAAATACAACTGTTCATGTTTGCCTTATATGACTATTATGTAATAGTGTAACAGCAAGCTTGTAGCATATATCAGGGTGGACCTAATGACTCAGCCTGTGAATATATTGATTCGAACTATAGTTGAGTGGATCTTAGTGTGAATTGCAGTGAAAGAACAGAAGAACAGAATCACACGACTGAGTGAAGCTGCTAAGAAAACTACTCCCACATGCCCTTCCTAAAATCTCACTTTTTACACAACTGACAAGGCATTTAATATTATTTTATCAGTTCTCTTCATAAAAACAAGTTTTAGTCCTGTTCTTTAACCTATGAAAACACACAACTATCAGCCAGTTCAGAGCCACTGTTCTCCAGTTATTATGCAAAAATGTGAACATGTCTAATTAATTGAGTTAGCTGATGTGCTTGGTGATATAACTTGCCATATCCATATCAAAACCTGCAGATCTTTTCACTGGAAATCAAAGTTAATCTGGCACTAATGCTATCATTTGCATCAGATGTGCTCTCGTTGGAAACAGTAATGAAAAAATGACAGATATTTAAGGCTTGAGTGCTTTAGAAGTTCAGAGTACAGCATTCCATTGCTCTGTTGCATTGTTGCCTGCTGTCAGTTTTGTAATCTGCTTTGTAATTTGTAACTCAACTTGTCATCATCTTTCATCTAACCTGGATCTGTTTGGTTAAAGACATGAAACATATAAGCAAATATGTCTAAAGTAAAGACACAAGTAAAACAAATGTGTCTTACTTCCAGGCTAATAACCTATTAACCTACATTTGCTGAGCAATAATTGCGTAAAGTCAATTTGTGGTAATGCCGTGTACATATACAACTCTGCTTGACATGCATAGCTATGATGCTATCTTTCCATCTAGCTATCTATCGCTACAAAGATTTTACCACATACTGTACAGCAATCTAGTTTGGAATCATCATTGTTTGTTGTGAAACCCTCCTATTAAAATGAAGTCTTTCTTGATGATGCATAATGCACAGTAACTGTTACACCTGCTTAAAATACTGATGAAGTGCTCGCTCCTCGGACGAGCTTGCTGAGTGCAGGAGTTAAATAAGGTAGAACACGGAAATACATGTCCAGGTTAGGGATGGGCAGCACAACTATTTCTGCTATTCAAATATTTGCCATTTTTTTGACAAACAATATTTGAATATGCCAACAAGAAAATATTTTTTTTGCGTTGAATAAAAACTGAAGTTTGTTAACTTACAGTCAGGCTACAGAATGATAACTTGCATAATTTACCCTCTATATATTTGTCACCTTTTTTGTTTGAAATACTTCCAAATACAGCTTTGCTTTGATGTGGCTATTTGACTTAATGTTAACTTCAAAAACTGTGTGTATAAGTCTGTGCGTGTATGTGTGTACCGAAAACTCTGGCCACAAAACCCAGAGGGAAGTGTGAGGCGAAGGCGGTGAGGAACCAAGGAGCAGCGTAAAGACTCGGCCCAATCTCATACTGCTCCAGATGAGTATACAACTCCCTGTGGTAGTCGTGCAATAGACGAGACAACTGATACATCTGGATCTGAGAGAGAGCGAGAGAGATTGAGAGAGAGAGAGGGAGAGAGGGAGAGAGAGAGAGAGAGAGAGAGAGAGAGAGAGAGAGAGAGAGAGAGAGAGAGAGAGAGCGTGAGAGTGAGACGGCAAGAGGGAGAAAGGGAGAGAGAAGGGATGGAAACAATATGAAAACAAGAAGTCACCTAGACATTTTAGCTCAGATCAGCTATGTCTACTAAAATATTACTACTGTCTAAAAGTTACCTAAACACAGAAATAACAGATTTTAGCATCATCATTTCAATCATTTAGCAATGATTATACAGAGCACAATTATTTGCTACACTGATTTGGTATATATTACTCTGTCTGAACAAGTAAGCTATTGATAAACTCAATTTTTTAAATTAAATTTACACCAAAACAGACAATATTTGTAGCCAATTAGACAGATAATTAAAATATTTTGGCCACCGAACACTTCTGGCTGATCAAATTTTACCAACGTGTTCAAACAGACTGAGCAGCAGCAGATCAACAGTGAAAACATCAGCTGTGTGGAAGTATTTTACAGTTTCTATGAGGGACACTACACAAGCAATTCATAATCACTGCCAAGCATTGAGAGAAGGTACAATGCCAAAACACTTCTCCATTACAGGTTTGATACCACCTGTAGACATGACATCCTGATTGATACACAAAATACTGCGAAACAGAAACTGATCTGTTGTTAAGGATGCTGGATTTCATGTCACATACTGTAGCCAATACTGTCATCATTTTAGCATGTTTTTTATTTATTTCAGTCTTGTATGTCCTGTATTTTGATTTTGGTGCATTTATAATTTTCATTATGTAATAATTAATTTTTTAACACCTAGTGTTGAAACAGCCTGTCAAATATAGAAAAACTCATTGTGATCAAATTTCTGGCCATGCTGTGCTAGCATGAGGATAATGTTCCTTTAAGGCTGACAACCTCTCAGTAAACCAAATGTATGTACCAGGTGGGCTCTGGTGGAACTGAGATCGTTGCAGTGTGAACTGAATACCTGTAGAATGATCATGTCGGGTCGGTATTGTTTCCGCAGGCCCATGTCGTACATGAGGAATTTGAGCATGCTGAAGGCGTCCTCCTCGCTCATGTGTAGCAGCAGCACTCCAGCCACGAAGCTCAGACCCTGACAGTAGCCCACCTCTGGGTCCAGCAGAGAGTACGCCTTCAGCAGGTTATACAGAGAGAGCTGACCCGCACCCAGCTGAGCACTGAAATAAGGGTGAGTGGGGAAGGTGCGGCCTGAGAGAGAGAGAGAGAGAGAATAAAATGTAGAAACATTAACTCTTAAAAGTGTTTTATACATTTAGTTTACATTAGTGCTGTTTAGACGTAACTGCGTAAGAACAGGATTAACTACACAGTTAAATAATGATTTACATTTACATTTGATTTCCATTCGGTATGAACAGATCTGAGTTAACACTCCTGACTTTTCTCTGTTTTAACACTGCATTTCACACTGCATTTCTCATTTCACTCCTGCTTTGTGTTTACTGGGAATAAATGGTGTTTGGTGAAGTTACTTCACAGTAAGCCTTATGACCATGATTGCCGACTATGTCAGATATTGAATGTCAGTTTGCCTTGATGGAACTGCGTGGGCGGCCAAAACGTTTTGGGTGCTGGGTGGCAGCGGGACAAATGATTCAGATTTTCTGAAATCTTGATTAGCAGTCCCGTGCAGACGTCTACTGTAATCACTAAAGTTCGCTTTGCTAGCTGCATGCAACAAATAAAGTGAAATCACAATTTTAATTAAAAATGGTATATTTTCTCATTAAAAATCAATTTATCTGCTTTTAAAAGACCTCAAATAATTTGTTAAAGATAAAGATATCAGGTGTGTTTTAGCAGTTTCTGGTCTAGTAAAATGGGTATAATTTTACTGGGAGGACATGTTACCTCAGGCTGCATGCTATACAGTTATTTCAATAGCAATTGAACAGCAGCATACCTACGCCCGTCATATGGAATGTGTACGTGCAGGGACATTGGGTGTTACCAGGAAATGACTGCTTACATTGTGTTATTATTATTTAACAACTGTAGGTTGCAAGGTTAATAAGTCATTAGTCCAGAAGTAGGTCATATTGGTAAGAATTCTGAAGCCAAAAGTATTTACTTGTATTTTTCTTTGCTATTCAAGTTTAATTGTGTAATTCACCAGTGTAGTGGTGCATATATGCAGGTATATGGCAAAACTCTCCACTGAGGAGACTGATTTACTCTTTACAGACCTGAACATGAACAGAAATATGATTGTATTTTTATTTTGTACTTTGTACTCAACTGTGGAGAACAAAGACTTCATATTCTTCCAACTGCGAGTCTTTATGTGTTGAATAAATGTTACATTTTTAGCTGTCATTTTTTCCTGCCCTCTTGCTCTGCAGTCACTGATAAAACTAAAGTAATGTTGGCTACCTGGCAGCAGGCTAATGCATGGTAGTAGTGTATGAATGATAATCAAAGCAGTAACAAATCAATTTTGAAATCCGTTAGATTTGTGTTCAAATGCTATGAAACTTGAGCCTTTTATCATTTAATATATTTAGTTCAACAGCTATAACTTATTGTGGAAAGAAAGATTTATTATTTACAGATCACTTTCAATTATTACTGTGTTGCAGTAAATGAAAATTTTGTCACTTAAACTGGGAAATCTTGCTAAAAACCCCATTCAAATCAATTGTATTATTCAGGTTTAAGTTTAATGGTTCAACCAGGCATCATTGTTAGTATATCCCAAAAAGACAAAACATTAAGTGACAGTCATTCTAATTTTGGGTACCGATATTTGTCGTGTTCGTGAGAACAAGCCAAACGTGGTATGGATAGAACATTTCAGAATATACACTTAGAATGTAGCTTCTCTGCTAGTTTCAATGAGTTCTAAGTGTGAAATAATAAAAAATGAAACCATGCACTTTGTTGGCCTATTTCTAGTGATTACTCTACTGTTCTGTAAGGCAAATGTCAAAGTCAATGACAAAACTAAACACTGTTTAACAGGGTGCTGCCTAGAAAACTATAGCCTTCTATACGTTCCACCCCTTCTCTTCTCTCCCCCTGTAACTACATAATTACAGTATTGCATCATGAGCCGAAGGCAGACAGTGATATCCTTCAGAAAGCCTCAGAGGGGCCAGGTGTGTATGAGTGTATACGTTACCAGGTGATGTTGCATACATTCAGGAATGTGAGCATGAAGCATTGTTAGGAGTCTTTTCCCAGAGAAAAAACAGCATCTCTCTACTCTTCAACTGAGCTTGTTTTTGTTCTTGTCTGTTCATCTCTTAATCTTTCCTCCAATGAATCTGTCCATCATCTCCATTCCCCCACTATTCACCCCTCCTGCTCATCACTGAGACTGTCTGTTTGCTCCATAGCAGCATGATGACATCAGTGTGAAGAAGAATGGAAGAGGCTGACAGGCCCATGTGGATGCTTTGAAAGCAGTAGTAACAGTAATCTTACTCTATATAATTCTAGCGTGCTGTTGATCTGTGCATTTTTTCAGTAGCTCTTTTTGTGCCTGTGCGTATATAGGGTGAAAAGCATTAGCACTGAGAAGTAAAACCTTCATTAATTTATTTTAAGTCAAAACAGGAACACATTACAATTTATTCATTTTTAGCATAAGGAAAAAAACTGAAAACATTTAACAGAAAGTACACGTGCTGTTAGGAATCCTATTTTCTCAAATTTTTAAACTGCAGTCAGGCCTGTCACAATCATGAAAATTTAGCTGACGATTAATTGTAATATAAATAATTGCAATTAATGATTTACTTGTCTTTTCATGTTCATTATTTGTAAGTGATAAAACACAAGCCTAAAGAGGCCAAATTGGCTGTTGAGCCACCTTACTTGGTAGTTACTGTAACACTAGTTGTACTGCTGAATTAAGACTGCACATACACTCTCACAATTACCTACAGTTACATAAAATTATGTGTAGAGTTAAGAAAAGCTACACGAGCTTCACGAGAGTAAAAATAAGCAAAAATCACTCTAAATGCTAAAAATCTTAGCTACATAGCTAACAAATCAATAAACATTACTCTAAACATGTTAGAGCACCAAGTAATAAGTTCAAACTTTTTTCTCGTCATAAGCCCCATGATGTATCAACGAAATGACTGCAGTTGTCCTAAATAACTGTGATCATCTCAAATAGATGTGATCACCTCGAATAACTATGATTCGGCCATTGTGTAATAATTATGACAGGGCTAACGGCAGTTAAGTTTCACTTAATCTCATTTGATTTTCCACTTGCTTATGCAGGTGGATTATCTTATATATATAATTTCTTCAGAAATAACTCTTGAAAATGAGTAACTTGTACTTCATGGCCATTTTAACTACAAATTAAATAAATGAAGGGTGGTCTCTGACTTTTGCCCAGTACTGAATATTCATACATTATATAGCTCCAAAGTTAAAAATGAGGTTTGAGTGCAGAATATAAGCTTATTATTTAGTAATAATATTTTTGCACAGGTGCAAAATGCACTATGGTGAAACAATGTGAGTTTTTGTGTTACTTCCCCAAATCCACTTAATATCCATTAAACCACAACAAAGTATATGTATATTATATGTAATAACTGCCTCAGGTGTGCGACCACTTATCAGCAGACTCCGGCAAGTTTTAATGGTTGCCTCTTCTGGACTCAGTTTCCTCGTTTTGCATGCTCAGTTAGATTTAATTGACCAAGACTGACTTGGCCAGGCTCTTCATATTGTGTGTGCGTGTGTGCGTGTGCGTATGAAAGGATGGGTGTAGTACTAACCCAGGTCTATGAGGATGGCATGCTGTTGTGAGGTGAGTTGTTTCAGTAGCTCTTTGTAAGGTGTGTCATTATTGGGGGGTTTGTTGGTAAGTATTGGCTGCCTCAGTAGATACTGCTCAGAAAGAAACTTCCAGATTTCACCTCGGTGCTGCCGAGGAACACCTGAGAGAGAGAAAGAAAGAGAAAGCGAGAGAGAGAGAGAGAGGAGAGAGAGAGAGAGAGAGAGAGAGAGATTAATTTTGAAAAATAACAGCAGTGATGGACAATAGATTAAATTAGTACATCTCTGTTGGAACAATTTCTCGTATCTCAAAAAAAAAGAAAAGAAAAAAAAAAGTGCTAAGGTTATGGCACACTTTATATACAATCCCGTTTCCAAAAAATCTGGGATGCTGTATAAAGACAACAAAACCTGGGCATGTTTACCACTGTACCACTGTTTTGCTTCACCTCTTGTTTTAACATTTGTTTCTGTAGTTTTGACAGTAAATGTTTTCCTGTTCTTGCCTGATTTAGGATTTCAGCTGCTCAACAGTTCAGGGTCTCCTTTGTGGTATTTTTGTTTCATGATGTCAATTTCTTCAATGGGTGACAAGTCTGGACTGCAGGCAGGCTGGTTTATCACCTGGACTCTTTCACTGCAGAGCCATGGTGCTGTAATGCATGCAGAATGTCGTTTGACATCGTCTTGCTGAAATAAGCAAGGCCTTCCCTAAAAATGGCATCGTCTGGATGGCAGCCTACGTTGCCAAAACCTATTGTATATCATTCAGCATTAATGGTTCTTTCACAGATGTGCAAGTGACAGTGATTTTCAGAAGTGTTTCTCAGCCCATGCAGTGGTTTCTACTACAGAATCATGTCTGTTTTTAATGCAGTGCCAATACTGGTTTTCAGCCTTGTCCCGTGCACACAGAGATTTCTCCAGATTCTCTGAATATTTTAAGGATATTATGTACGTTAGTATATGAAATCCCCAAGTTATTTGCTGTTTTCATTTATTCAACAAATATTATTATTGAGTTGTTGCACTATTTGCCCACACAGTCTTACAGAAGTGGTGAACCCACTTCACTCATCTTTACTTCTGAAAGAATCAGCCTCCCTGGGATGCTCTTTTTTATACCAAATCATGTTACAGACCTTTACCTTCTGTCTTTTGTTGCCCCTGTCCCAACTGTTTTAAATCATGTTGCTGGCATCAAATTAAAAATGACAAAGACAAAAATGGAAAAAAAAACAAAAAAACAATAAAATTTCAGCATTTGATATATTGTCTCAATACTATTTTCAGTATAAATATAGGGGTTTAAATTATTTGCACATCAATGTATTCTGTTTTTATTTACATTTTGCACAGCGTCCCAATTTGGAGACAGGGTTGTATTATGTTTTATTTTTTCCAATATGTTAAAATGGCAAAATTGTTTGATTATTTGCAGAAAAATACCATATTTATGTATGTTCTCTGTAGAAGATTAATTCTTACTTAATAAAAATGAAAATTGAAAAAAAAATGAAAAAAATGAAAATCAATAAAATGTCATTTAACCAAGGGTGTTCAAACCTTTGCATATGACTGCACATGAATGCATGTGGAGGGAAAAAAAAAAAAACCACAAAGCAAAACCAAAGCAATCCTTAAACCCACACATGTTTACTGTAACAGCACATCCATTATGTCAAGAAGGAACAGGCATGACCGAGTGTAGGCGGGTTCAAGTTCAAGCCTTTTACAACACTTTATTTCCCTTAGCCTGTTTCAGACCAGCTGCTGCACACCTAACATTCTTATACCGGGTAGTGAATACTCCGTTGGTTGATATGGCACTGGCCGTATCTATATGGCATGGTCACTTACCACAGACTATAAAGTACCCCATATTCCCGTACTTAGAAAAAAAAAAATACAATAGAAGGCACAGGGCAGTTCGTGAATTATTTATTTCTATAACTTTTATGAAAGGTGTTTTTTGAAGAGCAATTTCATGACCTATTAAGAGACATTTCTAAAATGCTGTGAATCTTTAGAATTTGTTTCTTTCAGATACAGGAATAGTTTTTCAAAAGGAAATCTGTGTAGCGGTGGGTGCTAAGCCTGATCGTCATGGATACAAGAAAAGCTCAGAGAAAGAGAAATGTCCCATGAAGGCTCCTTGTTTGTATTAGATTATGCAAAACACAACGGTCTACCAAGGCCGCTTGGTCACATCTTCAGATATAGTTGGTGCGTGAAATTTGCTCGAGAAAATACTTTCGAATTGAAGAATAAAGCAAAGCATTCAAGCTAAAAACTGCTCAACTTACTGAAAGCAGGTGAATCATAAGACACTCAACTTCACTGGGGTAGGACCCTAAAGGGTATGTCTTCAGTACTTCAGTTATGGAACTTCATTGTACCATATTCTGTTTTAATTATATAATTTAAATTGCACTTGCTGTGTTTTAAAATATTAGGTTATTAAAAGGTACAAATAGGTACCTTTGCCCTGGGAAAAACTGCTGCACCTTTAAAAGGAAATTTACCTTGCACTTTGGTAACAAAAAAGTACCTACAAAGTACCTTTTTCCTCTCAGTGTTGCATCCTCGAAAACGTCACAATGTAGGCTGCATTTCCTCATGTATTCAAAAGGCGCTCCTGATTAGGACAGCCTTGGGATGATGTAGCGCTGTAGAAATGCAGCCCAACTAGACGGAAAGTCGAGAGTTACTGGACCTGCTTTTTACCGTTCTGCTCCAGTGTTTGTAGAATAGATAAAACTTCAGACGGCGGAGTGTATTCTGCTCAACTAGCCATTACATCCTTCAGCAGGACACGGGTATTTTTTGCTGTTGTTCACACTTTTCTGCTGTAGATTGCGCTGAAAAAGTGCTCAACTTAAGCGGCTAAGCTCTGCTCTTTTGACAGGATAACTAGTCAAATAAGAGGCTGGGTAAAACTGAATCAGACAGCACAAACGGGCCTGTGCAGTATGACAGCTTAAAGATACTTATTAATTCAATGGCGTATGTACCATCCTCTATGCTATTACTGAGGTTTGCTGAAAGACCTTGAGAAATAGACGATGAGTACCCCTCACCACTGTAGCTTGGTGAGTGGTTTAATGTAAAAATATGATGTTGTTTCATGTTGCTTTTGCTAGTTTCTTTTGTCTGTACCAGGGGCATTCAATTAAAACTAGCAAAGGTTCAGTTACACCAAATTTCTTACTTACGAAGGTCTGGATAAACAAACTAACATGACTGAATGACCACGAGGGTTGCCTTTAAATGCTTAACCAATAATGATTAGCTCAGAAAACTCATCAATTAAAATACAAAAATGTATGGCCATTGGTTGTGCTTAACGTTTCCACTTTTGATCACAGAAATGAGCAGATGACACTCATCATCAGTGACTGTGAAATAAGGAGAAAAATGCAAGAAAAAAAGTTCTTTGTTCTTTCGTTTTTAAACACTCAGCTTTTGTCGTCGACTTTCCTTTTTCTAAAAAAAACAAGCCTTGTTTTGGCTTCACTACTTGGACGAAAAAAGTGAATAAAAAAATCTATGAAAATATGGAAAATTATTCTCTTTCTGTGCTGATATATAGTCCTGTAGTCTCTCTTCCGATGAGCTGCTTTGGCTACATTAACTACACAGTGGCTTCTATTATAAGTGATTTCTATTATAAGTGAAGCGAAATTATTGTCTATGGTAGCTCAACACACCATACTGATTAACATAGATTTACTGGAATAATTCTTTAAACACCAAAACAATGTCCCACCACTCAACAGACCAAGAAACAGCAGGAGGATACAGTCCGGTTGGATCATATGAATGGTAGATGACAGCCTTGTGCAAACAACCCTGCTTAGCTGACAATGATTTTAGAGCAAAACCATTATATATTACTCATATAAAGTTTTACCCTTCAACTGCTTTTGTTAAACAATGATCGTATAATATAATCGTATAATATTCATGTCTCCGACTTTACAGGTGAAGGAAAAAATCGGAACTTATAATGGAAGTAAATGGAACAAGACCATTTCTGTTGGTCCATTAATCACCTGAATGTAATACAATGTAACAGGCAACTTGATTTTGCAAATTATGCAAAAATATGAAAAATGACAAAAGTTAAGATTAAGCTTTTTGCTCAAAAGTGACGATACGTGTATGTTACCTTGTCCAACGGCTGTGTGTATCTTCTCTGTATCGAATTTGACCTTCGACCTCCCTGCGGTGCTAAGCATTTTCTCCCACACCAGCGTAACATCTTTCAAACATGGTGTGATCTCCTCATAGTCCAGCTTCAGCCGCCTGCTCTGCAGATCGCTCTCTGAGGCTGTAAACACACATGCAAAAAGAGGAATACATTTAGACTATACTAGTGTTCATCTTCTCTTATTAACACATAAGTACAGGCACTCACGCTTACACACTGTCAGACCATTAATAAAGCTGGACCATTCAGATGGAAACAAAGTCGGTCAGGTTGGTCTGAATGCTCTGCTTTTTGAGTCAGAATTATTCACAGTGGTGGTGATAGAAACCAGACGTCTGAAGAGTTTAATATCTCTAAAAGCTACATTACAAAAACTCATTATAAGAAATGAATGTGATGCCTGAGACATTTACAGTAGTTTTGAAATAACGTTTTAAAAATACACTCATGGTGGAGAGATACGGTAAAGGCAAAAACTTGTTTTACTCAAAAATCAAGGGGATTCCCCTTTAACAAATATTCCATACAATTAATAATTCACTCACTGTGTCAGAAAGGAGTGATTCAGAAAAAGTGAGAGTAGATAGTGGTGGCCTATGAGTCCAACCAAATCCTAGTTCACCACAGGAAGACACTAAACCCGTGTCAATGTAGTGACTCATGGTTTTAGTGGAGAGATACAGGGTGGAACAAAAGAAGGGGAATTTCCTACAATGCTTTGTGTGCGCTGTAATGAACCTGACCCACATTTCCCACCGCTCGCGATGGACACACACACACACAGGAAGAGATAAGGAGGAAATGAGAAAAGATTAAATAATAAAATAGAAAGAAAAAGGGAATACCATCCTGTATGTTGTTCCCCACCCAAACTAAAGAAAGGAACGGCAAACCTTACATCATTTTTCAGGACCACTCCCTTATTAACCCTATCTTACTTAACATACTGTCTGAAGCACATTTACAGTGCCCCTTTAACTCATTAAAATCTGCTCTAGAGTGATGGACCATGTGTACGCCCACATAGGGAACAGTAAAATGGTTCAGCATGCGGAACTGGAGCTTTCTGGGTGCTACCACCTTTTCTATCACTACACTGGGCAAAAGTCAGCGACTGAATTATTACATTTTCAGTCAAAATGGCCATTAAGTACAAAACACTCATTTTTCAGGAGATATTTCTGAGGAGATTAGATGTAAGATAATTTGCGTAATGAAGTAAATAACTGAAAAGACGAGTTTCCAAAAGGAGTCCTCCAAAAGTGGGACACGTAACAACTGTGCAAGTCCTGGTAGACCAACAAAACTGGCCCCATCAGATAAACAGCACTTAAAGTTTTCACCTTTGAGAGAGAGGAGAATATCAACCGCTCTTGCTTGTTTCTGTTCATCCTTCCACTGTGAAAAGACAACTCAATGCTAGGGGTCTGAAAGGATGTTTAGCTGTCACTGAGAAAAGGACACAGACAAAAAAAAATAAAAAATAAAATAAAACAGCACTTGCTGACCACCCCCCACCCCAGAGTCCAGACCTCAACATCACTGAATGTGTTTGGGATTACCTGGAAGGTGAAACGCAGAAACTAAAACCAACCTCTAAGACTGAACTTTGGAGGTGTGGAAAACTATTCTTGCAGATTTCTTTGAAAAAATGAAAACAAACCTCCTGAAACAGTTACAGTTAGTCTAGTACAGTGAGTCTTTGTTCAGACACAGCATTTAATCGTACCTTCTGACAAAAGTTAAATTCAAATTTAAATGACCTTCATGTTATGGAAGCCCTATATATGACAGAATGTGTAATACAACAGAAAGGCAAGACAAACGTCCCTACATTTCACTGAATAGTATAGAAACAGATTGAACATTTTTAATTTTTTATTTCAGAAAAAGGACTGACCACCCCAGAGTCCAGATGTCATCACTAAATGTGTTTGGGATTACTCAGATTGTGAAAACCAGCAAGTACAAACAACTTCTAAGACTGAACTTTGGAGGTGTGGAGAAAAATACCGCAGAAGGCTTCGACAAACTGAAAGCAAGTCTCCTGAAAAGAATGGAAGCTGTAATGAAGGCAAAGAATGTGGGTGTTGAGGCTTCTGTGTAATTTTCTGTTAAGTACATGTTTTCTGCTCCATGCTGCCTTTTTTGTTGGATGCCCTGAGACTGTTTCTGAGAGACTGTGCACACACGTACATAATACATCGCAATGGAAACGCTTATTATTGATTTGTTTAATCAGAACCATCATAAAAGGCTCCCAAAGTGTGAAGCATGTTCCTTGCGCAAACAAAACGTGTAACACAATATAAAAATCACATTTTCAGCTTTGTTAGATCGTGTTCATTATCCATTAAACTACAACCTCACTGAGACATCACGTTCTTAAAATAGAAGAGCAGATAAATAACAAGGTTAATTATTTCAAAGAAAAAAGTGGCACCATAAGCCTCGCGCCACAGGTAAGCCTCCCTCTACGTCAATACTGACCCAGTTTCGGCATGTCAGCACGTCCTTTGCCTTTTTTTCCACTCCTGACAGAATGGAAGGAGGCAAGCCTCGACTCAGGAGTGTGAGGGTGTGGTAAGCAGGTAAGGTGACACGCCCATAGCTGAGCTATAACTGTGCCAACACGCTCTGTCGCGGAAACAAGATTAGCTGGTGCGCTGTGTTTTCGTCTACGTTGCACTCGTGTGCATCACACTTTTAGTAAGTCTTGGCTAATTTCTTTGTTGACACAGATTAATACAGGAGGAGTCAGGCGTGTGCGTTTTGTGTATGTTTACCTGCTTGAAACCAGTGGCATCAGAAGCACATTAAAATGAAAGGGATTCCAATAAGCACCATTTAGTTTTGTTGTTTACTATTAACTACTCTTCACCTGTAACTCATTAAAAGTAGCAGAGAAATTCTGTTGAAAGCATCTCTCCACAACACATTTGTGTTTGTAAGCAGAAGAGGAGATATTTAATTATTATTGGAACTTATTGTATATACGATTGAAATTATTGTTGTATGCAGAGTTTTGTTTTTTTGGGGGGGGGAGTGCAGATATGAACCTGTCAATACAGAATGTAAATAAGACCTGAAGATAATTGAAATTAAAATAATATGAATTTGAATTATGTGCAAATTTTTTTGGACAAAATAATTTGTTCTTTACATTTTTTGCCAAATTTTTGTCAAATCTTGATGCTGAAACATACAGGAAAAGGCAGAAGTAATATTATCGCTGTCTAAAAAAATATGTTGGCCAATTCATCATGAAATTTTCACACAACGTGAAGAAAAGCATTTATTTCAAATCCTGACATTGAAACACGATCAGAGTCAGATGTACTATATTAAAATAATCCTAAATGAAGTACGTTTTTTTCCCCAAGATAAAATAAATCGTTCTTTACAGTTTGCCATGTTTTTGGCAATCCCTGACATTGAAACAAATGAAAAAGTTCTGAAGTAATATACAAAAATAATATTCAGCGAAGTGTGCGTCAGTTTTTTTTTAGGTTAAATTAATCTTTGATTTTTGCCATGTTTTTCTGGCAACTCTTCTCTTTGAAACAAACAGAAAAATATTTGAAAAATCTGAATGGAGTAGGTGGTAACTTCTTTTGGATAAAAAAAATACATTTTTACCATATTTTTGGCTATTATTGACATCAAACAGAAAAAGTCAGAAGCGCAGACTAGAACCTGTTGGCATAGAAAGTAAACTGAATGTAACAGTAATTCATTACGTAACTGTAAAACTAAGTACGTAATTACATGTCATTAAGTTCAAATAGTCATGTAAATGGAATGTCAAGGGAAACAATAATAATAACTTGACTCAATGATTATTGAAGGTTAGCAAACAAACTACTGTTTTTGTGGCAAAACATTTTTGTTTACGTTATTGTTTCTGAATATGATTTTGATGAATGTTAGGTATCAGTTATCATGGTCAAGGACATGCATGGGCTTATGTGTTGGGTCAGCCTCAGGTCACGGTCAGACTGAAGGTTAGATTTAGGTTTAGGATTACAAAGATTCAGTTACACAACAATTCAGGTAATACAAGTATGCAAGTGTACGTGTTTAAGTATGTGCCATCTGATAATTCCTTTGGCAGCAGGCAGGGTTCAAAGTACTTCTGTGGAACTGAAGGAGGAACCTCAGAGCAGGTTTAATGTGGCCAACATCCATCAGACTGCATTGCTCACATAGATTTGCATAAATGCCTTTAACACGACCTGAAGCTTAATGCAGGGCAGATGTCGACTTTGGGCGTAAACTTAGCTACCGTTACGAGCCTTTCACCCAAAAGGTACGACGACGAGACGTGACAAAGAAAGGCTGAAGTCTACTGGGCGTCAAAATGCCAATGGAAACTATGCTTAGCTCATATTTTGATGACACGCCAATGTCCGAATTGTTCTTTTCAGTAAACTAATTGAACCAATTCACGAGTCCAAATGAATCAAATGTGTTACATCTAAAGTACTGTGCAAAGGTTAAAGACCATTCTTTATCAATTTATTTACATTTAATGTTTCTGTATTTACTGTGTCCATCTTTGCCTTTATTGCAGCCTCCATTCTTTTCAGGAGATATTTTTCCACACTTCCAAAGTTCAGTCTTAGAAGTTGGTTGCATTTTCTGCTTTTTACGATCCATGTAATCCCAGACACTTTCAGTGATGTTCAGGTCTGGACTCTGGGGTGATCAGTCCATTGCTCTGTGAACACCAGAAGCTTCTTGACTTGATTAGCAAATGTTCTTTTTTGTCTATTTCCTTTTCTTCATAGTGTTGAGTTGTCTCACAGTGGGAGGATGGACAGAAACACCTGTGGATGTTTTCAGATCTGAAGCAAGAGTGGAGCTTGATTTTCTCCTCTCTCTCAATGATGAAAGCTTTGACTACTGTTTATATGATGAGGACAGTTTTGGTGGTCTACCAGTTCCCATTTTCTTTCTTTCATCTTTTGATGCTTTTTTTTAACTTCAGTTTTCTTTTACTTTCTCCTTCCTTGTGCAAGCAAATTTCTTATATCTAATCTAATCTCTTCAAAATGAATACATTATACTTAATGACCATTTTGACTGTAAATTAAATAAAGGGCCTCTGATTTGTGCACAGTACTATATACACAATGTTACAAGCTGAAGACATCTAAGAAAATCTGAATATTTTCATAATTTAACCTCGAAGTCATAATATCTTAGTGTGGTGTTGCTGTGCAGAAGTAGCAACATTAAAGACTTTTTTGGGGAACTGAATCTCATTTTATATGTACGGAAGACAGGTGGATAAAGTAGGTTCGACATGTGAATCAATGAATCGTTTAATTGGTCATTTGATTCATTAATATGGACAGCGTAATAGTGTCACTTCTGAGAAGTAATATGACAACGTGTAACCAAGTGACCACGTGATTTACAAACACCTGATCCAAAAGCACTAAAACTGACAGGCAGCAGCTGAAAACAAAAATGAAACCTTTGAAAACAGCGCAGCACTGCTTTGCCATGATGAACAGGATGACACTAGTCTCAAAATTACAGCTTTTTGCGTGCAGTTCGCTCACCCTGTAGTTTCTGGTTCTCTCTCTCCATTCTCAGAAGTAAGATCTGCTGGAGGATGGCTTTCCGCCACAATTCTCGCAGCTCGGCCCCGCTCCTTTTCCTCCTCTCCTCTGGCACCGCCCCCAGAGGACAGTCCCCGCCACCACCTCCACCTCCAATCGCCAGTCTACCTCCAACCTCCAGAGAAGCTTCTCCTCTTTCTGACAGGGGGAAGAGAAAGAGTTACATAAAATTTTATGAAAATTATTGTGTTTCCTGCAGGGTCGTCACCTCCAAGTCATCAAGTTAACTAACCAGTCATGGTGTTCTTGGTCAACTAAAACTCTGTCGCCAACTACTTGCATTTACTTGTTTTATCCATAAACGTCAGCACTTGCAGCACTGTAGATGCTTCTGCAAATACGGTCATGGACCTAGTGAGGTTCTGTTTTATCATTCTTGTGCATCAGACTAGACTTATGAAAAGCACTAGATACTGAAGATCACAGGAGATGCAAATAAGATTTTGAAGTAGATTTAAGAAGCACGTTTCCCATTAATTACCTAGATGAGGCATGTCGAACTGGGGCCTTCCAGGCCAAATAGCTGTGAGGGAGTTTACCCTCATCTAATGCTGTGAATTTAGTTCAGTGAATTCAAGGCATGGCTAATTAGCTGATGAGCTGAATCAGGTGTGATTAATGAGGCAGCGTGCTGCAGTGTTTTGGTCCGCAAGGACTGGAGCTTGACACAGGTGACCTAGACTGTGGCGGCCCGACATAGTCTAATTTGTCCCACTGTAGTTTACATAATGAACTGAAAATATTTTTACATGTCTCTGAACAACATACATGTCTCTGAATAAACATGCCCACTTTTTTGGCAAAGGGTCTCTCACTGTCAGCCCCTCTCCCCTCCCCCGCTGTACATGCACATGCTCACACACACACACACACACACACACACACACACACACATACACACACACACACACACACACACACACACACACACACACTGGACTGTCTTGTCACCTGGCAGCATCCAAGACACAAGGCATTTTGAGGACACTACACCGTTTGATTTGAGGCAAGTAACTTTACAGTATTCTCAGCATTTATGCACTAGTCCAAACACAATCTTTGGATAAACGTAAGACAGCGAGCAGATAACATCAATCCAGAATTTATCACTGATAATGTTAATCTAACTTTAGCATAGTTAGAGAATGTTAATGTCAGTGTGTTAGACTCTCATCTCCTCGTTTTAAAACAGTGTACTGTTTAATTTGCAGAGTTTTAGCCTGTTTCTGAGTCGGGAGAGTTGACATCAATGCTGCCAACACATCCGGTAGTGTTTTTCCATCCTTCAAAATATGTGCTCTAACCAGAGCTGCTGTAATATTTCAGCAAGTTCTAAGATGTGATTCTTTGTTAAGGTCTTCACCACGGCTGACACGGCAGCAAACATACATGATTATGTCATGCACATGCTCGGACAACATAACTAGTTTCAGCCTCTGAGGAGCAAATTGACTCCTCATGTAACCTTAGGGTATTTGTAATTTTAACTAATCAAGCTGAAGTAGCGGTAACTAATCAGAAGTAAGAGAAGTTAGGATTTACTGCTACTGTTTTAATGTATGGGTTGTGATATGTATGCTTTGTATGCTCTAACTGTCTTTTGTTTTGTCCATTTGTGCAGTGTTAACCACTTTTACCATGCTTTGTGATGTGACCTTTTTTGCTGTTATACCCATACAACCAGTGTGTTTGTAATTAAATTACTAAAGCTAATGTGATGATGGGGGGACTGTGGTGGCCCCCCTCGCTGAGTTGGTCCATATGGCATCTCAGAAGCTGTTCCACTGGGTTGAAGTTTGCAAATATCACTCTATGAAAACAGGTCTAAAATAAGCTGCCATTACCAAGAGGCTATCGCTGCAGTAGCTAAACAGTATCAGGTCAGAACAGTATCATGGATCAGACAACGTCAAGGTGGGCAAGATTGGTGGGGGGGCCACAATGATCTCCAAAACAAAAAGCTCTTATTAAGGTAAAGTTCTTAAATGAATATGTCCTGTTTTAAAGACACGCATGACTGTTTTTTGGTGCTGAAACATGCTTGTTAACCCTTAATACAACGCCTATACGACAAACACGTTTCTGGTGTTGCTGCTACAAACTTAAAATTTTAAATCTCTCTACCTTTAATGGTACTGATATTTTTAAAACATGTCACTACTTGTTCTTTTTACACCCGAGAAAAACAAAACATCATGATGCATAATGTGTTTAATGTCGTATCATGAAAAAACTATTGTGATATTACATTTTTGCCATATCTCCCACCCTTCATATAGAGGTATGACAGCTGGGCCTATGGCGGGGGTCACCAATCTTATCCACAAAGGGTCAGTGTGGCTGCAGGTTTTCATTCCAATCAAACCAACTGATAAAACAAGTGGAATCTGGTGTGCCGATTCCAGCCTGGTTGGAATGAAAACCTGCAGTCACTCCAGCACTTTGTGGATAAGATTAGTGACCCCTGGTTTATGGGCTTATCGTCTTGTTTAGCTGTTTAGAATTGTTAGTCTTTTTGGGGGGAACTAAACGCACGCAAGGATGTACACACGTGCATATACACACTCTAATTCCTGTAAAGGGCTGTTTGATAGCCATCACTCTATCAGGTGATCTGAGTGTGTTTGTAACTAAAAGAGCATTTTGGACTCGCTCACTCTCTCAGCACTTTTTTTTTTTAAAAACAAAAGTGGTATTTTGTGGTTTGGGATCCACCCTGTCGTTTGGGTGGTGTCTGCAACTCTTTTTTTTTTATTTTTAACACTTTCTGTGAGCACATGTGCACGCAAATAAACACACATACACTCACACATAAATGTTAATCGCAGAACGCTCATAAAGGGGAAAGCAAATCGAACAGAATTTTAGTTTAAGATGGAATTAAGACAAATACCTAACCTTTTATCATGGTTTACAATATTATCACAATACTGTATTAAAAAAAACACTTGTTTAAAGCCAAAGAAAACGGTATTCTCAAAATAAATGAATAAATAAAACACTCCTTATATTGATGCTCAGTACAGGCAGAATTATTATACAGGCCTGCTTGATTTCTTTGCACTGCAAACCTTTGAGGGCTGGGGAAATACTCAAATACAAATGAATTAAATTAATCATATAATACTAAATCATATAATCAACTAACCGTTTAATACTACACAGCTCCAGCCTACACATCAGACTATTGCTGGATTAGCCTGTTAGCCTTATAGCAGCTAAACTGGTTGTTTACTATGGTTTGGTGGGACATGAGTTTTCACCTTTTTTGATAGAGATAAAAAGGGTTACACTTAATTTGAAGGCTACTTACATAAGGGCTTCATAAAACATGCATAAGCATTGAATAACATATTTATAAAGCATTACTTGAGTATTTATGAACAGCTTGTCATTAATCGCAAGATGACACGATCTTTTATGAAGTAAATTACATTGTAATGACATGAGGGGCCTTAAACTAATGAACGTTTTGTTTAACTTGTAACACTGTCATGAAGTGGCTTTCTCAAATGATGGAGCTTATTACACAAGGCTTATGCAGACCTAAATAAAATATCAGCTATCACTATCAGCTGTATATAAGTGCAAAAGTACAGTTTTTAAGGTGTTACAGAAGGAATCAATGTCTGTCATCCTTATAACAACCCCTGAAAATGCCAGGCTTACTTTTTTAGATCAGAAAACATCCTGTCATCTTGTGATTAATGACATAGGGTGTTCATAAATACTCATTTATTGCTTTAGAAATACATAATCCAATACTTATTCAAGTGTTATAAGGTCCATATTCAGGTAGCCTTCAAATAAAGTCTTACTGAAGAAAGTCCTGTGTTCTCTCCTTTCTGCTGTGGTGTGAATGTTGAGAGAGAAGCAGCCCCATATCATGATGCTCCCACCTTCGTACTTCACTTTGGATCATCATGTCAACCTTTCTCTCTCAAAACATGACAAGCTGAATTATTACCAAAGAGCTCATTGTTCTAAAATGCTTACATTTTTTAAGTTTTGCCTAAATTTGAGTTCTGATTTGTCTAAATGCTTGTGTGCAAATTTTAGGCACTCTACTGCGCCTTTTGCAGAGGAGTTTTGTGTGGGGTTAAGAACAGAGATGACTGCAGTGCAGTTCATTGTTGTTTTTTAGGTATTATAGATTATACTAACAATAGTTTTGGTTAGTTAACACACATTAACGCACATAAGATCAAGAACAAAACTACTTCTCTACTTCTTTCCCCTCACCGTATCTCCACACAACGATCACATATAACCCAATTCCATGAGTGTGTACGTGCTACTTTTTCCAACTCTGCCACAGAGGACACGTAGAAGCCCTCTTCATTCCATTTGCAAACACACACACACACACACACACCTCGTATTTGCATGTACCTCGCCATCTTCACAAACACAAACACCCAGGAGGCACTCCCTCTGCAAATAAGCTACCCTACAGCCTCAACCAACGCCCAGCAAATGTACTCACTCAAACTCGCTTAAATGGGTCAATAAGGTTGGTGCTTTCCTCTGGCAGTCTGTCAACATGACCTCCAGCAAAACACAGGGTGGAACACCACACCCAGCACATACACTCAATTAAACACACAAACATTACTTCACTTTGCGCATTTCGCACATCCTTCCAGACATATACACAGTCCAAGACGCTGCATGACCATTAGCGTTGTCTGCTTAAATCTTTTAACTGGCAAAAGCTGGTCATTTTTACCAGCAAGGGTTGGGAACATGATGTGTTACTGCTATCATGATAAACTACGTCACAATATGCTTTTCAAAGTATTTCTTCAGCACTGAACAGCTGCATGACTCATAAAAATGACTTGAGAGAGTCTGTAAAGTAATACAACCACTGCATAGTAACTGCACTGCAACAAGAAGCTGACTGGATGGAAGCCCATTATAACGGCATCTCACTGTATCCACTTCTGTTTATCAATTGTTTGATTTTCACTCAGGTTCCATACTTTTTTCTTTAATTAAAACACTGTCTGTTTGCCCAAATAAACTGTCATTTACCAGCAATTCAATACACAAAGCCCCAGAAATATTCTTAATTTAAGTCAGTCAGGAAAGTAAAAATAAAATTAAAACACTGCAACAGTGACGCCACAGAGGGA